TAGAGGTCCCTTCCAACCTTGAATATTCTGTGATATCTCAGACACCAAACACTTTTGTCTCTTGTGATTATCTCAGATCTGGATCTGGAGTGGAATCAGATTTTTCAGTGATTCAGTGCAGCTACTTAGTATGAGTGAGCTGAGCTTCTTGGTATCTGTGGTGTCTTGGCAGTGAGTACCACAAGCCCACAARTAGTAAGTACCCAAAGCAACCAAGGAGCTCTCTGAAAGTCAGGTTGTTATATGAATATCATCCATTCCAGGTATATGCTCTTCTAGTAGCACAGCAGGACAGATTTGGGCCAATCAGATTTCAGATACAAAACTACTCGTCGCTCAGATGCTTTTGGTAGTGCATTTTTTTTCTTTTTCTTTTTTTTTTTTTTAATTTGTACCACAAGCTTCTTTTAAATACTGAGATGAGGTAGATAGTGCTTATCAATCCAATGCTTACTCTTGGAGATACAAGCCCCATTTGTTATGGGGCTGTTTTGAGTTCCCTCCTCTTTTTCTATTTACTTATTTCACTTATTTATTTCATGTYATCCGTATGCCTGATCTCGGGTAATACACTCTCACTCAAATTTTGCTAAAAGATATTTTGTGGAAAACATTGATTTGCATAAGGTCATTGGTGAGACACCTCTGTCCAGTCCTTCACCATATCCCTGACAGTGAGTTTACTTACCACTCCATATTCCATACTCAATTTTGTATATCTCTAGCTTAGTTTTGTAGGKTTTTTTGTTGGTGGTGGTTTTTGTTGTTGTTCTGATTATCACTTTTTAACTCTTTACTCATGGTCTMCTTTCACTTCCATTTGCCATTGGAGTTTTAGTCCTTCAGATCTTCTGTCTCCTGATGAGACAGCAATGAAATTGCCATGCTTGGGATTCCCAAGGACCACAGGGATTGCTTTCCTATGATTTTAGGGTTGGGTTGACAGAAGTTACGGAAAGAAAAGAGTGTATGCAGGTTTAAAAAAAAAAAAAAAAAAAAAAAAAAAAAAAAAAAAAAAGATCGGGGCTTGCACTTAAAAAGGAACAAACAGACAGAGTTACCCTTTTTGTTGGCCCAAGCTAAGAATATTAAGCCTACATACAATAGATTCATGCTTACTTACATGTAGCTACTCTGGAAGATTTTTGTATGCTTGAGTAATGCACATTCCCATTCTTATTTTAGTCTTTTGTCACCAGACCAACTACTTTCCTACCTCTCAGCTTGCTCTGCCATTGGTTTATTGTAATCCCTAGAGCTTGTGTTTGCACCCCAGTTTTCTGCCTTCGACCACTCTGGACTTGATTTTTCATCATAGTTTATTTTGCTCTATTTGATGGATAGATAATCTTACTATCAGCAGCTTCTCATGTTGCCTGGCCTAGAATTGTTGAGGGGAGACTCTAAGCAGTCCTGAGACAGGAGACTTCTTTCATGACTGGGGATTACATTTCAGACCAATTTCTTCCTCTCTTTCAGCAACCAAAAGCTGATTAAGCCACAGCTATTCCATAAAACCTAGTTGCCYAGACAGGAAAAACGAGGCTCAGAGGGGCAGTAGAGAATCTTAGCCCTGCCCAGATAAGGTTATCTCTCTAGCTCAAATTACACGTTAATTTTATCAGCCTCAGTGGATGAGATAAAATCAGATGCAATTGTGGGAATCACTTTGGAGGAAAGGRGAGGAAGAAACTCCAACTCTAGAGGAACTTCTTTTTAGTAGATTAATTTCTGTCATGATTTAAAATTAGGGCTATGAATTGAACAGATATGTGTCTACTTTTTTTAGAAATACAGCTTCTGTATGGGTTTATGATATTTTTCTAAGGAGGACATGAAGGCAGGGAGAAAGCTGGAAAGAGAAGAGGAGAAATATTAACTACAGTCACAGACTCCTGGTCAAAGTAATCTCAACATAGAACAGGGTTATAGCATGAAATTTTGTRTATATATATGTATGTATATGTGTATAATATATAGTATATTATATGCCAAATAATACATTTTTATATGTATTTTATATATATATACACATACACATGGAAATTGTTTTCCAGCTTCTGGGTTTGATATTGAGTTTTTAGGTCTACAATCCTATTGGAAATTATCGTGACTGAGGAAGGAAATCTGCTGGGGCTGTTTGATTAGATCTCTATTTGAGACAATAGGGCTCTGCATATTGATGTAAATAAACAGAWCTGCCATGTCATCACAATTTCCCCTCTTGCTGGAATAAGCTGGAAAAGCCCACAAACAACTGTGATTGACAATTTGATACGAACATTTGGATTTCTGTATAGCATCAGGCCATCAAAGTCTTTTTTGGAAYAGTGTTTGCTGTGCTACAGTTGCTAGTAAAAAAGTGTGAACAACCACAAAAGAAGATAAATTCACATCTTCAGGATAGAGGATAGCGAAATCTCCCTGCTGCCACAAATAATCAAGGCACAATTATTTTGAAAACCTGAATTTCTTATTTTTAATCCGTTTTTTTCCTTAAATTAWGGATAATTCTGTTATATCTATTGTAATGAGACTAACATATACCTCASCTTCATTGTCTCCCCCTGTGAAGGCAGAACCTACTGCCAGAAAAAAAGAAGGGGGTGGGCGCAACAGAAAAGAAAACCAAAAAACATCGAGATGCTCTGTTAACTCTGTAAAACTTTCACAAATATCATCACCATATTCTGGTCAGAGCTATTAAAGTTGCAGGCCCAGAAATTTGTGTGTCAAATGCARCACCCTAACTTAAGAGTGAGAGAGACTTAGGGCAGCGAAAGTAGGAGGAGGGTGTGAAATGCAATTACCTAAAATGGAAATAGAGCGGTTAAGGAATGTTAGATTGTATCTTTAAATAATGATAAATTGTATAATGTTACTTGGTTCTCAGAAAGAAAAACAAGAGAAAAAAAAAAAAAAAAAAGGAAAAAAAATAGCTCCATGAGAGGGCAGTAGAAGATAGGGTGCCGGAACATTTTTTTTTCCCTTGCTGATCATTTTTACCTCAACAATCAGTTAGTGAATGTTGACTGCTTAGGGCTTTGTGATAATACCTAGAAATATTGCTTCTTGCTTTCAACAATAATAACACGGCTTTTTCTSTGTCCAGAAGCAAATAAGTGCAGAAATGAAATATTTTCCCTGTACGAAGCAGAAAAAAAAAGGGGGGGGGGCGGTAGGGATCACAGCATCTTTGCTTTAGAATACTTTAAATCTTTTTAATCTCCTCAAACAATAGCTACAACACAGTTTATATCATGATAGGAATGGAAAAATGCAGTATACCTATTTGTTCAGAAGAACAAGTTAAACCTGATGGACAGGTAAGGTTTGAACTTTCTCTATTCATGTATGTTTACTGTTGCAGTGAGGGAAATGAGGAACAGAAAGAAGTTCAAAAAAGAAAAGTGTCTATCTCCAAATGGCCTAAATTTTGGTGATTGGCAAAATAAAAAAAAAAAAAAAAAAAAAAAAAAAA